TCCCTTGAGAAGCAACCACTCTTCCTGAACTCCCCTCCCTCTGGGGTCGTGGTCTCCCGTGGTTATGTAGTCACAATGTTAAAAGATGAGCATTTATTCTTTAGCACTGCATATATCTCTGATCAGTCCTTTCAAAAAGATGTGAGGGGGTGGAGAGGAAGGGCAGGTCCCTGTCCCCCCCCCATGGAGGTCTTATCACATCCATCCCCCATTTACAGTGGCTGGCAAATCAGGAGGTTCTAGATGACAGCTATATTTTCCCTCCATTTTAATACCCTGGCAGAAGCCATCAGACTCTAGTCCAGTGGTTCTCAACTTTTTTAAACTCAAGACACCCTTGGATAGATTTGAGATACCCCTCAGAAAAGACATCCCTCAGAAAATCTTAGGGCACCCAATTTTTGAGGCACCCCTCAGAAAATTTTAATTTTCAATTTTTTTTATTACAGAAAAATAATAAGCAATCTTCTGTTGTAGAGAACTCCGAAAGACCACAGCAAGGAAGAACATTAATAACACTACAGCTCCTATTTAAAATCTCTGGGTTTATAGAATGAATCTTGTTTGCCCACCTAAAAGTGCTAATATTGTGTGGCACTCTGTAGCACCCTTGAAAGGAACTCAAGTAACCCCCTGGGTGCTGTGGCACCCTGATTGACAATTATAGTACTAGTCCTTTACTTCTACACTCAGATAACAGTATCAGTGACAAAAACAGCTATTCCTTGTATTTTGAACATTGGAAATGTAGATAAGAATGTACTGAGATCTGATCTCAGTAACAAGAAACTGACAAATTTGTAGCTGTATTCTAAGTATGTAGTTACCATAGGAAGATTTTTTCTCATTTACTTCATTTGTATGGTCTTTTCAGTAAATTACTTCTCTCTTCAATTTTAATTCTAAAGGTAACAAATCACATATTCGAACTCTTATGCTAAAAGGATTGCGCCCATCCAGGTTAACAAGAAATGGATTTACAGCTCTACATTTGGCAGCTTACAAGGTAAATTTTTTAAAATTAAATTGACAAAAAGAAATCAGAAGTCAGAAGCTTTAATAGTTTGCTCTCTCTAGTCATTAATCCTAATGAAAATCTCTATGTCTTGAGTACAGGTCATAAGAAAATTATCTATAAAATGTTGCTACACAAGAAAATACTATACATATTTTAGACCACCTTCCATGAGATGATGCCAGTCTGATTTAGAAACACTGAGTAATTAATTCTCACAATACAGAAGTATTGTAAAATAGGGAAGTATTACTGAGATTATGGTCAGAGAAAGAGGTACTTTTACAAGAAATGTAAATGTGTTAATCATAGCATAAAAGGTAAGGGTGCTACATGTGCATCCAATTTAAGATGCTATAAAATGGCAGACCAGCCATTACAATTTTCTACATATAAAAATGCAATGTAGAACATGTTTATAGCTGGTTTGTATGGTGCACTAAATTGAACATGTGGCAGGCTTAGGCTGGACTCACAATCTTGTCAATTGTCAGCTCTAGCCATGGACTGCACTGGGATCTCAACCCAGTGCAAGTGTAGTCGCTGGCTGGGACAGACAATTAACTGATTGTCAGCCTAGCCCCAGACCTGCAGGCATCTGGCTTTCACCTTACCACTGCTGGGGAATCTGGAATCTGACTGGGATCTGCTCCCCTATCCCAACAATCGTGCCTCCTGCCATGCAAATGTGGAATGACATGAGACTCAGTTGTTGGGATTGGCATCTGATCCTCAATCTCACAATTGTGCTTCCTGCCATACATGTGTATGCACTTGATGTGAGAGGGTAAGACTCAGATCCACAAAAGGAAGTGTGTGACTAAAGTGGAAATTAGTTACTTAAATTCCATCTAAGTTAAATGCTGTCTTCAAAATCCCTGTCAAACTCTGTAGATGTTTAAAATTCATAGGCAGTTCTGCATTTGGACATGCCCTGAATTCCCCAGTTCAGCATCTGTCTCACACTGCAGCCTGATCCAGACTGATATCTTTTACCTATGTCCCCTGAAGGACCTAAACTGCTAAGTAATCTTGGAACATTCCTAACACAGGCATTTCATGAAACACATGGTCATTTTTATCCAAAACCAGAGCTGCCTTCTTGCAGCTCAGAATTAGGTGCCTACCCCTGTTGCTGAAGCATTTCCTGTTTCCTACTCAATGGGAACATCTACACATGCATATTTATGTGACACAATAAACTCTAGTGCTTACACATGTGTTTGCGACCGTAGCAGATTGATCCAAGTCAGAGCAGCCCCAGTTGGCAAAGGGTATAGGGGGCTGCTGCACCAACCCAGCTCACTGTGCTGTGGAATGGCTGGCTAAGGCACAAGGGTGCTCCAGTGCGGGGCTAGCCAGCAAGCAGGCCCCACACTGAAGCACCCTCATGCCCCAGACAGTTGCTTCAGTGTTTACAGGTGTGGTGCAGCTGAGTATAAAACTCCTCAGCAGGACAGTACTTGTATTTACAGGTACTATCCTTTTGCAGTGT